GATAAACCGCGGGGATACCGACTAACGATATCGTATCGCCCGGACATATCGTTTTCTGTATGTATTTTCTGTATATTCATTTTCAAAATGCGGGCCGGGACTGGGTGGTCTAGCCTGCAGTCTTGCTACTCACTCAGTTATATTTCCAATATTAAATCGGACAGAGTATTTTAAAGCAATTTCTATATCAGTTAGCATTTTGGGTTCCTAATGCCGTTTCTTTATCCAGCATTTGTGGCTTCTCTTTCATCTCCTTTATGTATCTACTAGTTTGCTACTTTTAGATCATGGTATTGTATTTAAGACCTTTTATTATTCATTAAACAACGGTCATCATCAAGAGATGCATTAAGGTGAATGCACATTATCTTTTTATCCTTACAAGTAGTGAATTTTATTTCTTAACTGAAAAATAACTAAAAAAAGAAAGTATTTTATTTTTTATCAATAATTTTTAATTGACCATTGTTGTCATATTCAATGTGCGGAAATTCTATGGATTTATAATTTATTTCTTATGACATTATATATACCAAATGAGTTTAAAGTATACATGATTTTTTTTAAGTTCGAAATAATGAAATGGTTTCAGGGTCAAAAGATTCCTTAATATTTCGGAAAGGAGATAATAAAAATGTAAACACCTTGATCATAAGTCTTCATTCAACGGACTACGCCCTCGTCGAGATGACCAATAGAAAATATCGAAGAAAGGTACATAAATGAATATCTTATGATACAACATTGGTTTAAGTCTGTTCAAATAAATAATTTATTAATATGAGCGTAAATAAATAAATCTTTATTATTCATTACCATCTTTAAAATGGAATAATGAATTTTTAAAATTCACTGCTTTAAACTATATGGTTGTTTCTGCCTGGTAGGCCAATTATGTTTTAAATAAAGGACAATTCTTTGGAATGAATAAAATATATTCTTTAAGAACGGACCGGAAGTTTATAAGGTGGTTAGTGAGAGAAGTGCCCATCCCTCCCAAGGTCGGCGGTGCATGAACCTTCCCCCTCCCTTTCCCTAAGATATTTTATTGTTTCCCTCTTCTTAAAAACATTAGAAATAAAAGTTCCGTGAATCATACGCAATTTCACTTGATGAGATTCGTTCCACATATTCCCTTTGTCTTCTTGTTTGAAACTTTTCAATTCGAAAATTCATAACTCCGTCGAAATGTGCCCCCCTCGAAAATTCATAATCTCATCAAAATGTGTCCCCCTCAACAACTGTGATGGCGCAACATGCGCCATGAAATCGCCTTCTGGATACCCCTGGTCAGCGGTCACATCCAGGATCAATGGCCTTTTGTTACCTACTTCCAGCTATTTAGAAGGTGGATATACTTCGAAATAATGTCCTAACCCAATTTCTACAGCAAATATAACATAAAATGGTTTTCTGCCCACAGCCGGACTCAAACTCAAGTCAAAGATTCAATTTCATACCCACTATTACCTTACCCCTGTGCATTAACTTCTTTTTCATACAATGCTTCTCTTTACAGACGTGCTATGGTTGAATAGCAAAAAAAAATCACCAAAAACTGAAAAGTCTCACATTAAAAACTAACATGCTTGTTGTTTTAAATAAAAATCAATACATTAAATAGAAAAAAAAATTTATATTTATACCAGAACATTTTTTTTAATTACCAGAGAATAGGCAATATTCCGTTGTACAGAACCCCTTTTATCAAATTATTAACATCCACCCAAAACTTCGTGAATTTCATCTCATTGTAACCTACAATTTTCTCGTTAAATTAATTCATTTAATGAGGTACTAAAAACTCATTAACATCCATCACTAGCGGATCCAGGATTTAATTTTGGGGGGGGGGCTTCAGCCTGAAAGCTTTTTTTTCATAAAAATGACGATAATTACTTTGGAAAAAAAGAAAGAAACTAACTACCTGTATGAAATGGTGTTTAAGTGATTCCTAAAGCTCTTTTAATATTAATCACACGAACAATAATACTTTAAGAGATACTTTTTTAATATTTTTTTCGATAAAACTTATATTTTATATAAGTTATATTTTGCCATTTTGGGGGGGGGCTTCAGCCGGAAAGCCCCCCCCCCTTTTCTTCCCCCCCCCCTTTCCTCCCTGTAGATCCACCCTTGACATCCATTTACTTTTAACTTGAATCGTAATATAATTTAACCACAAAATCGAAAGAAAAAAAAATGCCCTACAAAAATATTGGGCCGTTTGGTCTACATAGCCTCGTTAATTCGACATGTTGAAGATGAAGGTTACACTCAATGTTCCAATATTTTTGTAGGTTTCCTTTTTTATCGATTTTGTGATGAAATTGTCTTATGATACAAGTGGTCTGTACCACGAACTACAAGGCTATTATTCCAGAGTAATCTTTTAATTTTACCTTTCTAAAATATTCTGCATTTTTTCGTAATCAGGTAGCAATGAATTCCATGAACATCAGATGGGCAACAGTAGGAAAAGACCCGTTGAGAGAGGTAAAAGCAATTTACAACTAACTGTAACTAGTCCAGCCACTTGTACCTTCAGCTGAGGTAAATCTAGCAAATTATGTCTCAAACTATTCAATAGAACTTCACAACTATACATAAATATACCTCTTTCCGCTTATTGTATTTATGCAGAACTATAATCGGAGTCTGAACTTTCCCAATGTCGTTTCATGTGTTGCATATGAAATAAGAATAGTTAAGAATGATAGTTTAAATTTATTAACTTCATTAAACAGCCATAATTAAATATAACGTAAGTAAGATCGCGTTTATTCGATCTATACCAATACCAAAGTCACAAATTAACTCTATTTTCGTACTGAATCATCAAGCTCTTTCACATGACATTCGCAACCTAGCATTTTTCATGGCCTCTAGCTCTTCCATTTCTTCTATTTTCTATGAAACTACTAAAAATGAAGTTCAGAAGAGTTCAGGTACTCATTGTTTGATAATTGGACCCATCAATTACTCCAAAGGAGCATTGCTAGCAACACGAAGTGTTGATCACTTTAGCAAATGGTGTGACCATACTGTAAAAGAATATGAGGGCCCTCAACGTTATTACATTTTAATTCCCCTTGTTTGTTGTTTATGGCCAACGTTTGGTAGTAAGTGCAAACCACTGAGTAACAACATTAATTTTCGGTATATACTAAACACAAGGCGTTATAATTTCTTTTCTTCGCTTAAACGCAGAATAATCGCCTGTTTAAATGTCATCCAACTTTTATCTCATTAATCATAACTGTTGTAGGCGCTCAGGCTCTAGCCAGAAGAAGTGCAATTAATTTAAGGGTGTGGGAATTAATCTCCCTTACGTAATTAGTTATTTTCAGGATGTTGAAATACTATCAACCAACCTGTCACTGTGTTTTCCTGGATACGCCATCGCTAGATTCATTAGAGACGCCCATTGTAGGCTGATTCCAAAGGTTGTAGATTCTTGGCGTGTATGGAGCATAGGTCTAGGTTTTAACTGGCCTTGTGTTTTAAAAAGCTGGGTGGTCGACAATAAATTTAATGATCACTTGAATCCCGGTATAAATATGAAAAAGGAGTCAAATATTAATGGTCAGGAATCGAAATCCTTTCCTTTTGACATAAGAGACAGCCTCATCTATCATTCTGATGCAAAACGTACGTAGAATTTTGGAGAGCTGAACACCATGGACTGCGATAGGAAAATGGAAGATGCTGATAATCCTAGTATAAGCTAAAAACAGGTACTACTGGAGTGGGAGGAATGGCTGCTACGGAAATGGTATCCATTAACAACTCGAAAAATATAGTCATAGTTATCTCACAAAATAAAAATAGACATATTAACATGTTATATAATGGGGAAGTTCTAGAGATAGTAAACGCAACCAACCTATCGTAAACTATCTCGAAATCTTATGTACAACTAACCGTTTGTATGAACATCATGAACGAAAGGATTAAGGACCCAAAGGAGTCTCTATTAAATACAGTATTGAAACACAGACAACTCAAATGGTTTGAACATGTTTGTTGGATAGATGAAATGAGGAAATCTAGAACAACAATGGAAGCTAGACTTTTAAATGAAAAACACGCTTGCACGTATGCACATACTCACACACACACACACACACACACACACACACACACACACACACACACACACACACACACACACACCTAAAAAAATAAGAAAGAAAATTACCATTCTTATCAATTCGCTTACAAATATAATTTGCCGATTGAAAAGTTGTGTTGTTCAAATTGTTTAATTGTTTTTTTCCCGTCTTCCAAACAAATAATGACGATTGCTTTGTAAATCGTCTTCTGTTATTTTGTTTATGAAGTATAATGGCTTTTGCGACCCTGAGGCCGCAGATTTCCCACTTTCGCAATATATGCAACATTAGAATCATATGTTTTTATTTATTCATCAAAACCTCAATCCACTAGCGGATCCAGGATTTAATTTTGGGGGAGGCTTCAGCCCGAAACCTTTTTTTTTCATAAACATAACTATAATTACTTTGGAAAAACAAAAGGAAACTAGCTACCTATATGAAATGGTGTTTAAGTTATTCCTTAAGTACTTTTAAATGTAATTACACGAACAATAATACTTTAAGAGGTATTTTTAAAATTTTTTTTTCCCATAAAACATGGTTATATTTTTCCATTTTGGGGGGGGGCTTCAGCCCGAAAGCCCCCCCCCCCCTCTCTCGTAGATCCGCCCGTGCCTCATTCATCCAAGTCATTCAAAATATACGGAAATGTAAACAGAACGTGAAGACAATGGCCTATTCATTCACTTATTTATTTTATTCCATCAATTATTTATTCGTCAGCATAGTTTACTGATATGGAGATTTTTCTTTTATAATAAACAATTTTACATTTTATGAATGTTTTAAAGTTTATGTTTTCGTTAGCATTCTTTCGCTACTCATTTCTGATACTTAGCTTTTTTGTAGATGACGAAGCTGTTACACAGCATAAAGGCAACGATATACAGAAAGTTGTTTGTCATATGTTCGTTATAAAATAGACATATGACATACAAAATTATAATTACATAAATACTGCTTAATTAATAAAAAAAAAGGTCTTTCATTGAAATGCCGTCAAACAGCTTGACGATCAGCAGTACTTATACCTCTATGTAATACATCTACTGCGGGTGATAAATTTCGTATCTGTAAATCACTCCTTATCTTAGTTAACGTAGACCCAAAAATCGCTAGAGTTACTATTCTGAAGTTCTCTGTCACCGCATTATATTTTGCTTGACAGTACGTGACTATTAATACCCGTATTTATAATATATCAAGTGGAACCTGAACTTAAAATAAAGGTTTAGTTAATACGTTATTTTATTAATAGGCTCTATATTTGAATTATAGTTTATCAAATTTATCAATCGTTATGTTTCATAAATCTTAAGTAAGCAATAAATACTTTAAAATCTAATACCTAAATCATCCAATGATAATAAAAAATGTACGAGTTAAGGTTTGGGGTAGAATAATTTACAGTTTGTCCACTAGGCAGCGTCTTCATAATCAAACATTTTGTAAGGTAATGTGTATACTATTTGTTGTGTGCCTGAATTTAAATTCTTTTATTTAACTTTTAGTAATTAAAATTAAAATACCCAAAGATAATGTCTTGTTTGATATTTAAAAGTATCTACATGTAACCTTAGTGCGATCGATATCCAAAATTGCTGAGTTCACGACAAGAAAGAACTACTTAAACCCTGATCGATCCACTTTCCCATTAGTGTTAGGTTTCTTTGTTTAGTTTACTTCACATTTAGTTAAGAATTTTTCTTAAAATACCTTCTTTATTCCTTACTCCTTACTAAAGTTTTCATTTTTGCCAAAGTTTCTGAAACTTTTAATAAATCTTAGGAACTGCAGAGATCAAGTATGAGTACTGATTCAGAATATCCAGTTTGGGCCCTTTTACCAAAAAAAGAAACAGGTGTCACTGCATTTATTAATAAATTCCCAGAGTATGATGGTAGAGGTGTTGTGATTGGAATATTCGATTCTGGTGTTGATCCTGGTGCAGCTGGTTTACAGGTACATATAGTTAAATTACTTTTTTAGAAATAGTATTCTCTTTCTTTATGCTTGCTAATTGAAATATTGGTCCTAAAATTAGACTACAAGTGACGGCAAAGTTAAAGTTATTGGCCGCTTTGACTGCACTGGTGCTGGTGATGTTGATACATCTACAGTTGTCCAAGCTAAGAATGGAGAATTAACCGGGCTTTCAGGGAGAACATTAAAGGTAATGTTATTAAATATTTATCACATTTTATTTGAGTTTATAAAAATGTAATGTATCAAAGTAAATACTTCTGAAGTTCAATTCATGTATAAGAATTTTAACATTGGTTTATTCTTAGTATGATTTTTATTGGTTATAGGTTATGTGTCACCTATATCCTATTAATTCATTGAATTGTTTTATTTCTTAGATTCCACCTAGTTGGAAAAACCCATCTGGAAATTTCCATATTGGAATCAAAAATGGTTATGAACTATATCCAAAAACATTGCTGGATCGAATTGTCAAGGAAAGGAAAGATAAGAAATGGGATCCTATTTTCAAAACAGCAATGGCAGAAGCCAATCGTAAACTGTTTGAAATTACCAAGGTAACTGTTTCTTATATTAATAAATTTGAATTTGGCATTTAAAATGTTTCTCTTACTTTCTGTGCAAAACAATTTTTATCTGAATACATAATTATGTATTTCAGAATACAGATGTTGTTAAATCTACTACAAGGACCGAAAAATTAAACAAGGAAGATGTTGACTGTCAAATAGAATGTTTAAACCAATTTGAAAAGAAGTATAGTGATGTTGGTCCAGTATATGATTGTGTTGTATTTCATGATGGTGAATCCTGGAGGTATATTTAAGAGCATATTTTCATGTTGTGTCTATGATTCATAAATGATTTTAATTTTAAAATACGCCGATAAATAACTGTTCATCACCTAGTTCCTTACATTTAGTGATAATAACTCTGAAATTCACACTAAATCTGTTACAATACAGTATATTCAATTATTTGGTTTTATCTCCTTTAGAATCTTTAGGATTTCAATTTAATGTTGATCTATTATATCAAAAATCCTTTTTTTTTTTTTAAATATACAAATGTTATATATATAATTTACAGATGATTAAATTTTAGAAATATGATTTAAAAAAACCTTTTAGCTTCTAATATATATAATACTCCATGGACATGTTCCAGCCAAATGCAAGAAATACTAATGCTATCCCCATCAGTTCTAAGTCCCCCTTACCTTACCTTCCTCATTCTCTTTGACTTTTCCTCAATCAAATTTTTCTGTTCCATTTCATAACTCTGTCAAAAATCTTGGAATTGCTTTTGTCCAATACCTTTCATGGAGTAATCTTGTATCGAAAATATCTCGATTATCATTATTCTGTTATTATTAGCAACAGTTATTATGATCCATAAAGGCACATCCATTGTATATAACCAAGCCCTCACACTTTATTCATGGTATATATATCATGAGGGCCTGTATGTTGCACTTCAGATTCACACATACAGGACTTCCAAATTACAAAAGGCATAGGCATTATGGCTATCCTCAGCTGAAGTAAAGCCAATCTACTTGCCGTCATTATGTATCTTAACCGTGTTATAAAATCAAAACACCTTTTTAACAATAACATGAATCAACCTATCAAAAAGTTATTACGATAACATTCAAAGGAATATTTATAATAGTTAGATAATATTGACCTAATGTTTCTTCTTTGTATACGATACTACATTTTATTCATGACATACTTTTATAAAAGAAAGGTTTTAATATCAATAATAAAATATAGTCGTCAATATTGAATATTTTAATAACTACCATATGGTAAAGTGTAAATATGATCTTACATTACGACGAGGTTATTTTGCTGTGTCATGTCTTCTAACCTTGAGAATAGCACCGTTAATACTTAGTAGCAGTTGGGGTTGTTAGGCCGTGTCAAATTGGGAGAAATTAAGAAAGGAGGCAAGGATATGCGGAATCTAATTGATAAGGTAGTTAATTCTGCATGATGTTTCAGTTAGGGAACGGAGTGGCCAAGCAGTCTAACACGTGTGCACAGCACCGCCGTTAAAGATAAAATAATACAAGTTCGCATCCCGGTGGCGGAGGGACTTTTAACCTTGGCATTAATCCCCCATAGGGAATGGAAAAAAAATGATATTTCAGTTATAAAAATAATACTGATTTGATTAATTAAAACATAACGTTTTAAATCAAACTTATATAAATTAAATGATTATGGTCAGAGTGACCAAGCAGGCTAATCCGTGAACACAGCACCGTGCGTTACCCCGTAACTCGGATCAAAGATAATTTTATAAAAATGATTATGAGGTCGTGTCGTGGTGCCTGGGGGGAGGGTGCTCATTTATCTCTCGCCTTCAGCCCTTGACCCGGGCAAACTATGTATAGCCTAAAAGGCAAGAAAGGAGAGATCTGAAAAACACTAAATATATAATTATGTGTAATATTTTGAAATTCTTTGATCACATTATTTATTGTTGACCTTCTTGAATAAACTGTTATATAAGCTCCTCTTTTTTTTAGTGCCTGTCTAGATACTAGTGAGGAGGGTGATCTTGAGAAGTGCCATCTTTTAAAAGATTATTCCACAAGTTACCAGTTTCAGTCTTTGTCTGATGATGATTTATTGAACTATTCTGTGAATATTTTTGATGAAGGAAACCTATTAGAAATTACATCAGTTTCATGTTAGTAGTAGAAACATGTCTTTTAATTTGAAATATGTTTAATGTAATTTTTATTATTTCTACAATTTTATGTATTCTGATTATAATTATTTTTACCCCTTAACAGCTGGTCATGGAACTCATGTGGCATCTATAGCAGCTGCTCACTTCCCAGATGAACCTGAAAAGAATGGCATTGCTCCAGGAGCACAAATTATATCATTTTCAATTGGTAACATTTTTTAAATCATTTAAGCACTGTATTATATACAGGTATGTGTATATATATATTTTTTTTTATGATTGTTTTTTTTTAATAGGAGATATTAGGTTAGACACGATGGAAACTGGAACTGCTATTGTTAGAGCCATGATAAGAGTAATGGAATCAAGATCATCTAGTACTCCTGTAGATGTAATCAATATGAGCTATGGTGAACATCCTCATTGGGCTTGTTCTGGGTACTACTTATTTATATTTTTAAATTAAAATTTAATTTTTATTTATATAATTTTGCTCTGTGTTATTTTACAAAATTGTGTCTAGTTATTAAAATGTAGTGACTACATAGTTGATGCTATAGTTTTATTTTGATATTAACTCGTATCAGTTTATTTAAACAACACCTAATGCATTATAATTAAAAGCTACCCCAAGTGCAATGTCAGGTAGAAGAATTAAAAATACATCTATAATCTATAGTTTTTGATCTCTCTTAATCACATTAAACAAACTTCCGACTTCAATCAATAATCAATTGATACCTGTCTGTATCAGGGGTCTCCAAACTATAGCCTGCAAGCACCTTCAAGCCGGCCCAAGTTTCTTTGATTAAATGGTAAAATTTGAAAAACTATTTAAAAATATGAAATTTTGCAAATTACTCATATACGAGATTATCTCAATAGTCAGTGCATAGATTTTGTCTTTTAGTAAGCTCTTTTCATAGCTGCAGTGTCCTTTATAGAACAAGATTTTTTTTTCATCAGAAGCCATGGCCTACCGGATTATGGTGGAGATCTCAATACGGCCCACAGAACTTTTTTTGAGATCTCAATGCGGCCCACAGAACTTGTTTGAGATCTCAATGTGGCCCACAGACCTTTTTTGAGATCTCAATGTGGCCCACAGAACTTGTTTGAGATCTCAATGTGGCCCACAGACCTTTTTTGAGATCTCAATGTGGCCCACAGAACTTGTTTGAGATCTCAATATGACCCGCAGAGCAAAAAGTTTTGAGACTCCTGGTCTATATGAACTTTTTTGTTGCTCTTAAGCTCTACTAACACCTCTCTAAATATTTCCCATTTTTTACAGGATATCCTAAATATCTGTTATAAAGTTATGTATCTTTCCTATTAATTTTTTTTTTTTTTTATGTTTTATTAGTCGAATTGGAGAGTTGATGAATGAAGTTGTTGATAAGTATGGAATATGTTGGGTAGCCGCTGGTGGCAATCATGGCCCAGCACTTTGTACAATTGGTACTCCTCCTAATATTTCATCAAATAATATCATAGGTCAGTTCCTTTAAAATTGTATTACTTATCATTAATATAAACTGCTTTTCTCATTTAACTTGATATATTTTTATTCTATTACATATTAGGAGTGGGAGCATATGTATCACCAGAAATGATGGAAACCGAATATTCTCTTCGTAAAAAATCACCAGGATTACCATACACTTGGACTTCCCGTGGCCCTACAATCGATGGTGCTCGTGGAATATGTGTTTGCGCTCCTGGAGGAGCAATTACCTCTGTACCTCAGTACACGCTCCGCCATGCTCAGCTTTTAAATGGAACTAGTATGGCATCGCCTCATGTTGCTGGAGCAGTCTGTAAGTAATTATTGTAAATAGTTAAAAGCAGTTTTACAAAAGTCAAAACTTATTTATTTATTTTACTTAATTTAAATCTTAAAATAATTTATATTTATTCTGAGTCATTTATTGATTTTATGAAATTGGTGTTTATATTAAATTGAATTGCTCCATATTATTCATGTTTCATAGGATAAATAGTGTATTATATTGCATTTTTTCTATATCTTTAAATACAAGGGCATTTTTATTTAATTACTTATTTGGCTATAATTGAATATTTTTTAACATTATTTTAATTAGAGGAGTTGGTTGGGGGTGTATTCAATATGTAATACTTTATATTATAATAATATTTTATCATGTAATTTTATAATAAAATTAAAAATAGTAGAATTTTATTATAATATAATAGGCAGTTACCCCTGTCTATCTATCATCGGACCAGCACCCATTTTACAAATTATAAAACTGTTCATTTAATTGCACTACTTAATGCTAAAATTGTATAACTGTTATGTACAATTTATGTAGTTCAGGCTATATTATTTTTAATTTACATAAAATAAACTGAATAAAACCACAGTTCGGACAAATTTTTAATTTCTTTAAAAATCTATAGTATACATCGTGCCTTATTGCCAATTTATATTATTATATAGTTATAATTATTCTTTATACAAATTTGTAAAAATAATTCTAGGAATAAGAAGTATGATGTCTTCATTATGATCCATCCTGCTTTTTTGTATAATAGAGATTGTCATCATTTATATTGAATAATTGTTTATAATTAATATTTATTTATTATTTTAGCTGTGTTATTGTCGGGAATGAAACAAAGAAACTTGCCATTTTCTCCTTATTCTGTGATACAAGCTCTTACTAATTCAGCGAAGTATATGATTGATCTGGACCATTTTTCTCAAGGGCATGGTTTACTGCAGGTATTACGATAGCTTTGTTAATAATGATTATGTGTGTTATTCTTCTAATATTGATTATTTATTCCAGTCAATATGTATTCAAATTTGAATAATATAGAATTCTTATATTGAATAAGACTGTTGAATTTAACTAAATGTATGGATAATAATGTATCAATTTAATTATCTTTTACATTGTTATCCAAGTAGATTAATTGCTAGTTTTACATGTATCAACACATTTTTGCTCATTACCAAAAATAGGAAAGCTTTCTCAAATTCTCTTTTTAAACATATATATGAATTATAAATCAAAGTATGTGAAATATAAATATTACCCTGGAGAAATTGAAGTATTTTAATGCATTGAATTCATTCATCTGTTTATATATTTTATGTCCACTTAAGCAAGTAATGAAAAATGAATTTAAATAAAAAAATTACTATCTGGAACAATGAATTTCACATTGAATAAATAATCAATTAATTAACATTCCTTAATGCTCCTTACTTTGTAACAAATAAAATAATCCATAACAGCCTGAATGTTCCATGTATTTCTGATTTGGCCCAATCCAGATACCTATCCTTCCATAATAAACTTTAGAACCATCCTAATCCTCTATTTTCTAACCTTGCTTCCTTCTCGATCCCTGAGAACACCCCTAGGCATCTGAAAAGAAGATCCTAATTTAGATACTTTATTAGAGTACTACCAATGAGTAGATTCTCTAGTAGCCTTATCATGCCATGTATTTCTTTTTATCACATTTACTGAATGTATATTAACTTGTACAGTTGTAAATTTCATAAATAATAATAAAAAATATATTAACAAGGAAGGGGTGGTAATTTTTGTTATGCCAAATGTTTGATACAATTAGCATGTTTAAATTATTTCCATCTATAATCTCATTTCATTCTTTCTCTATATACATATTTTTTTTTTTTTCTGCAGGTTGAAAAAGCTTTTGATCATCTTGTAAACTATTGTGAAGAACCTGAAAGACGTGTCAGATTCCATGTGACTTGTGGCAATGGATCGCAAAAGGGTATTCATCTCAGAGCTGGTATATCAGATAAACCAAGAGATTACCAAGTTAACATTGAACCTGTATTTGCAAATGCCCATAAACTTGGTAACTATTAACATATTGGGTCTTTATTTCTTCTTAATCTTAAGTTTGTTTCTTTAACATGATTTTTTTCTTCTTTACTTCAGATTCTAGAGAAAAGCTTGGATTCCAAATGAGCATAGCATTGGGTTGCTCTGAACCTTGGGTTTCTCATCCCAAACATGTTGAAATGACAAATATTGCTAGAAGTATTCAAGTTCATGTTGATCCCACTGGTCTCGCTCCTGGAGTGCACTACGCTACGTAAGTTTCCATTTCCTTAGTCTGTTGCTTTTATTTATTTTTATTTTTTCAATTACTCCCTGCTTCGCCATTTCTGGCATTTGGGGAAGTTGTTCTAGAAGTACAACCAAAACTATTTCTACTAGAGTGGGAAGGTCAAGTTTATTCCAGCACTAGATAAATTTCAACCCGACCAGGCTAGATTCAAATGCACATTGCTTGACTCAAAATTGTTAAAGTTTATGCTTTAACACGCTCGGCCATCACGACTTCTGTTCTATTACTTTGTGCATTCTCACCATAATAGCCTTTTTTCGTCCATTAGTTACAAAAGAAATTTCTCCAGCCGCTTTGTGCTACAAAGCTCAATGCCTCTTTGCGTTATAGTTTACACTTTATAATACTAAGAATGTAATGCCATTAATAAAGATGTTCAATTTTTTTATTAACTTCAATGCACAAAATTTTGCAATATCATTGAAAAAAAATTTCGAATTTTTCTATTAATCCTTTGGAATTCAAATTATCGAGACTTAAAACTATCAAGTGGAAACAAAACAGTTTTCAATTGTTAAGAGTTTTTATTATATTTTTGAAAATAAATATCTATGAGCTTACATAAATTTTATATATACATAACCTCAAGTAAAAATTTAAGTAAATATCATGTGGAAAAATTCGGATTATAAAGAGGGGAAGGAGCCTAGTTTGAATTATAGAACGTTCTCTCTCTATCTCTTGTTACTAAAAAAAATTCTAGTTATCGAGCGTATCTTATATAGTATTTTTTCTATTTATCAAAGTTAACATTTGAAGGGTTGGCATTATTGAAAGTCTACTGTAATAGAACTCCACTTAATTTTTTTTTAAATCTTACTAACATTAATTGAATTCATAATTAAAGTTTTTATTTTTCAAGGGTGTTTGACAGTGCTGAATAAGTACAATTGTGTTAGTTTTAAATATACTTTGTGGAAAACATTGAGAATTATTATATTATTTGGTGTTGATATTTTACAGATTGAAGGGATATGATGTTAAATGCCCAGATAAAGGACCTGTGTTCAACTTTGAAATCACCGTTGTTGTTCCGCATATATTCACCAGCATGACCTCACCTCCCCAATTGAAGTATTCTTCAGTTTTATTCAAAGCTGGTGAAATTCATAGACATTTCTTGATGGTCCCTGATCAAGTATCCTACGCAGGTGACTATTCGACTTTTATATTATTAAATTGATAATTTCAAATCATTTCTAAAAAAAAAAAAATATTTCAAGTAATAACAAAGTATGAGTAAATAAAAATTGTATGTTTTAGTCGTGAAGTTAAATGTCCTTAATGATGATAAAGGAGGGAATTTCATTATTCACGGTGTACAGCTGAGACCTAAAAGAGCCTGCAAAACATTAGAGTTCCACAAAATGGTCACTGCCAGCCCTCACACAGAAGCTTCTGTCTCGTTTAAAGTCAAGGTTATTATTTCTCACTATTTCTTACTTAATCATTATTGTCGTTTCTTTTGTTTTTATTATTAAATTTTACAGTTTCTTTAAAAATTGTCAAGACAAATTAATAATTTTTCCCTTATTTATTTAATTATAATTAGTTCTGTGGATTGAATTTTAAATTAAAGAATTTATTTCTTTTTCTAAGTGAAATAGTATCACTCAAGCTGCTGTTGGCAGTGCAGTATTAATACATTATGTATTCTGTATTACATTAAATATAAGACACACTTTTTATTACTTTTTTTTATTTTTGCTTGACTAGGAAATTCGATGATTATATTAGGGATGAAATATTGAAATTTGGTAACATTAGAAATAAAAAATTGTCTTAGAGCATTACTTCTTATGTACTTTAGTTATTAAAAAATCACTAATAAATAAAAGCTCCAAGAATTATAAAAAGGAACCTTTAAGTAGGAACTACTTACCTATCTGTATATATAATATGATAGTCTTTCCTAATTAAGATCCGTATTCCACCTCTCAGGAGCTATAAATGAGGTATCAAACGTAAGAGGATATCATTGAGCAATGTCAAATTATAGTCTCATCCTTCCGATATTTCATGAAAAAAAAGTTATAAAGGAAAAGAAATTTTATTTGCAAATAAATCAAAAATTATACATTTTTTTCTTGATTATACTTATGATTATTTGAAAGTTAACTAAATACTAAACTAAGAGGTTAATTTGTTTGACAGATAGTTTAATTGTTGTATTTTACGCATCATTTTGTCTTGTTTTAATCCATTGTAAATATATATATTGATTATTTTGTTGTATATTTTAAAATTTAGGGTGGTCTCATTTTGGAAGTAGCCATTGCCAAGACATGGATGGACCAGGATCCTTGCAATTTAGATTACTCTATAGGATTGTACGGATGTAGACCTGAAAGCGATAATTTTACCATGCATCATGGTGAGGGTATTATGGTACTCGAAGTTCTTGGTGGCCTTCAGAGTGAAGAAGTTTTCCCATCAGTTCAGTTCCGTCATAATGTTTTCATGCTAAAGTAAGTGCTAGGAACTAAAATAATTCGTAGAACGTTTATAGAATAAATCATCTCCAATTTATTTTCTAGGTTTAATTCTTATAAAATTAATTAATAATTGATATAAAGTGCATTTCATGATTTTTTAATTTGCATATCCCTTTCATCAGATGATCTCTTTTTCAGACCGACGGATTCGAAGATCTCCCCGCTTATTTCATTTAGAGATATTATCCCACCTTCAAGGCATATTTATCAGTTGATATTGACCTACAATTTGCACGTTCCAAAACAGACTGAAGTCACTCCAAGCTGCTCTCTCTTGTCTGATCTCCTTTATGAGAACGAATATGAATCACAGCTGTGGATGTTGTTCGATAGCAATAAACAGCTTTTAGCTTCAGGGGATGCTTATCCTTGCAAGGTTGATTCATATAATTAAATATATTTTATATAGATTTATATTAACATTTTTAGTATAATCATATTTTTCAATTAATATTATGGTTAATATTAAACAAATATAAATTAACAGAGTTACCGTAATCCAAAAATGTGTAGCGTACTCGCCTACTGCAGTTATTTTTGTGAACAATTTTATTACAACAAATCCTCATTACTATAAGCTCAGATACAATGAAATTCTTATTTTAACAAACTAATTCCATTAGTGTGAAGTGCAAACTACTTTTTTTATCCCTAGTGAGAATTAACTTCTTTACAACTTGAACTTAAAAGGCATATTTTATGTTACCATCCATTCCTCATCTTATCTTCAGTGTTTACGGATACATTATATTGTAATTTTTTAACTACATTCATAATGGTTGATTACATGGTATCTTGGAATGATTTTTTTCTTCCTTCACTTCATATCACTCAAGTTTAAAAAAAAGTTCAGTGTCGACATTTTAGTATTTTCATATTCAGTTAAAAATGTCAAAAAGAAAATCAATATTCCTTGACGATTAAATAAAAAATTGCTCACAGATCCGGAATCAATCATATTAACAAAAAATTATATATCAGAATATATGAGTTGGGACCCTGTTGAGCTCATTCTCGTTAAACGACAGAGTGATCAGTGATAAATTCTACTTTAAAATTATCTTTCAGCCTTCCCATGAGTTGAAGGTAATTTTTTCAGTGATTAGGGATTATAGACATTTTTGAACTGTCTTAAATAAAAATGCCTGAGTGGTCAGTAGAGGCGATGAAAAGTATTCCATCCTCAAGGATGCTCTGTCCTTACTGCTCATCGTTGCTAAAAGGTTAAAATAAGGAACAACTTCAGTTTAAAAATTTTTTTTTTTTTTATTTGGATATAACAAAATTCACTTATGAATTTCATGTCGCTTTAGGTTCATTTTAATGAGGATTTACTGTACTTATAAGATATTGAGCAAATGAAAAGAAAATTTTCTTTCTGAATCATTTTTTTATACTTACTTCATCTATTACTATAAAGGTTATTCAAGTTTATTAGCTCAGCAACAGAAACTATTATTTAAAGGGATATAGTTTTCTTCCCAACACTTTAAATGTATTTTTTTATTCAGGAATGCTTCAAGTAAAAGCTAAAATGTAAGCTGAAGTTAACAAATATTGAACATAATTTTATATTTATCCGAACTTTAATAAAAAAAAAAAAAAAAACAGAAAAGAATTTGCTATAAAACACTACTTTGACTGTGAAAATATGAGATGATTTTATTTAACTTCTAGATCTAGAAATGTCTTCCAAAGCCTCCTTACTTTTTTTGTGTATCGTGTTATTTTTACTGTTTAATTCTCAGATGTTGCTTTCAATTATTGTACAATTTGCAAATCAAATCAACTAATCATGATAGTGGATAATTGTTGACTGTTAGTAGATATAGTTGAAGAGAAGTTTGTAGTTGATGTTAGTACAAAGTAAAAATTAACTATTTCCAATCTCAACAAATTAAAATTCTGGGATTCTCTCTATTATATAAAAAAGTTTTTAGTGAACTTGTAATATTTTTCAATATTAACAAATTAAAATGCTGGAATAAAGACTAGAATTTTTTTTTTCTTGCTTACACTATATTGAAATAAAATAATAATACAATCTCAACTACAGAATACATGTAAATTACAGTTATGCAATTTGAATAAATGAGCAGTTGTATAATTTGTAAAATGGTGGTTGGTCCGCCGTTGGGTGGACAGTGTTTAACTCCCATAATATTTGTAATTTATATTTAATTTTACTTTGTACTTCCATTGTTCGCAAACTCCAACCTGGTCCTCTTCCACTACTACTAACTAATCATTAAAATAAATAAGAGTACGAGATCTTTGAAATATTATGATTAAAGAATATCCACCTTCATTAACTTAATCAAGACTATGCTCAATTTTTAAAATTCTATTTCATAATATCCATACGTTTCAATCTATGATTATCTTTTGTTTAATTTTAGTATACAGTGAAATTAGAGAAGGGTGATTATGTTATAAAACTCCAAATTCGTCATGAGAAACGTGAACTGCTTGAAAAGCTTACGGAACTTCAGATGCAAATTCAATGTAAACTGCCTAGCCCGATCAGTTTAGACATCTACCCGTCGCATTCTCAAGCTCTTATTTGGGGGAAGAAACTGTCAGGAGCTACCATACCCTGTGGAAGATACAGATTGCCACTTTATGTCGCTCCTCTTCATGGAGAAAAGTAAGTTTTTTTATCTCATTGTGAAATAATTAACTTTATGTAAAAATATTATTTCCTAATATTTTTATGGGTTTTTTTTTTATTTTTTTAATGGTTTTATATCTTGATGCAGTGGTTCATAATTGAATTTATTTCTTCGTTGTATTTAATTAATTATGATTCGCCCACAATCACTTGGTAGCAAGAAAATAAGATCATTCCTCTAGAGGATAATTCATCCCCTCCAAATATTCAATCGACATAGTAAACAGTATAACTCTAAATCGTGATTTGATTGAAAACAAGAAAAAGCAAATAAATTTATTTTAAAATAGTTATGTGTTTCATTTTACCATAGCTGTGAATGTTGGTTCAGAATAATCTAAATGAACCCAAGAATCAACAAATAAATTGTAATTCAGAAATACGTTTTCAAAGAAATTTACATAGTTTCATAAGAAGAAATTTCTAAAAGCACACTTTTTATTTCTATGCATTGATTTTGATTCATTACTTCGTTCTTTCACAACACATTCTCACAAAACGTCAGTTTCAAAATCAGATGAGGTTACATCTTCAGTTGTTTTTTCAATGTCCAAACCCATCCTAACCTGGATGGGTAGGTCAAGTCCAAACATACTCCTACATTAATTATTAATGCATCAATTTTTTCATCATTCATCCTACTGGTCAAATTCCCATTATTTATTTTTGCTATCCTGCACATATTTTCTTTTTCAGTTAAAGAAGAATCTTTAGACCTTGGGCAAGTAAATTTTTTAACGCTCTCCATAAAACTTTATTGTGTTTTAATTGGGATGGTGAGAGGAAAGGTATATGGAAATAGAACAATTTTATATTATGATTTCCTCAACTTTGAAGTACTTATCTGTCAACTTCAAAGCCATTTTTCAACCCCAAAAAAAATCAGTGAACTATTTGAACAATTTCATATTCAATATCCCGAAAGCAAAAACCATTTCAAAGGGTTTCCCCTTCCCCCCCCCCCAAAAAAAAGTTATAATAGCCTATTTATTATAAGAATTCAAATCCAATATTCCCGGATTTAAAGTATTGACTTTATTGTATATTGATTAAAGTATATAAATAATCACTAAAAAAAGTAAATAAGTATGGAAATTAATATGCAGTACAGATTAAAAAATTATGTGATATTGATGAACCTTTATAGTCCATGGTTTTATCAAATTATTAACATCCTCCCTAAAACTCAGAAATGCAATGTTTCTCATTAATTTAATTAATGAGGTGCTAAAAACTCATAATATACTCGCTTGAATTGTAAGATAATTTGATAACATAATCAGTGTTAAAAGAAAATGTGGCATGCAAAAATATTGGGCCATTTAGCTTATATAATCTTGTTATTTTTACATGTTGGGGAGTGAAGGCCATGCCCAATATTCTTGTAGACCACATTTTTCTCTATTTTGTGATCAAACTATCGTACTATTCAAGTGGAAAACAAATAGGCGTTCATGAGTTTTTAGTACCTAATTAAATAGATAAAGACCTAATTAAATTAAATCTCCAGATTAAAAATGCCCCAATTTCGATAATTTCTGTAAATTAAAACGTTTTAGGTTACAATAACATGAAGATATTCGGTAAGTTTTAGGCCTATGAAGTAATTTGATAAAATTGGATCTGTATGACAGACTATTAAATAGTAAATAACTAACGTTTTCAAGTATAAATTTTTATAGGAACTAGGTTTTCAAAGTTATGGGGGAAATGTTAGTTGTGCACACACCCTTGGTGATCTCATTTAACTAATCTTAGGAGAGTTGTAACTTAGTCTAATTAAAAATATTTTTTTGTAGAACTCTGAAAAACATCACTGTAGGGCAGTACCTGCTTGGTCAGTTGACACTGTCGAAGAACGATCTGGGGAAAAAAGTTGTAAGTAAATGAAAAATCTTTTTAATAAAATTATTATTTTAGTTAGCAATTCTGTAATTGTTGTTGAATTTTTTTTTTTCATTAGGATACTTATTGCTTCAAATACATCCTTGGCGATCTTACAAATAAGAAAAATTCAACTGGTAATCATAAAGCGGATAAGACAAAATGGGAAGAGTATCAAGAAGCCTTAAGAGATCTCAAGGCAAATTGGCTTTCAAAAATGGGTTTGTTTTTTGATTTTTGTTACCAAGTTTAAAACTAAGCTAAATGGTATTTTATCCACATGAACTTGAATTCTGTGTTGCTGGTTAGATGATATCAATGATGATTTAAAAAAAAAAAGAGAGATTGTTCAGATGAGACTTTATCTGAAAAGAGGATTAGTCAAGGCACACACACATAGTTATAACAAAAAGAGAGATAACTGGTAATTCTAAAATTGTACAAATATGATGCAAAAAAAAATTATAAAATGTTTGTCATTGATGAACTAAATTTCTAAAACATCTGTCTGCCGCTTTCTCTGTTAGCTTTGAGTTCAATAAGGGATGCAGGAAAAAAATTAAAATGTGGATTATCTCTTTTTGTTAGTAGAAGTCTTATTTAGAAACTTTAATTCAATAGTATTAGATAGGAAAATTCAAGTATGTCGATAACATTCGATAGGTAGATAGAAATTCAATCATCTGGAATCAATTCACTTTTTTATAGTACAGAAGTTAATGTTAACTTTTTTTTATTTTTCAGATAAAAAAGAAGATGCGGATACTTTATATGAAGAAATAAAAAAAGAATTTCCTACTCATGTTGCAACACACAGCAGCATGATGGCTGCATTAGAACCTGATTCCAAGCGCTTCTATCCAGGCATGGAGGAGACTAAGGAATCTATGGAAATATCCAAGCATATTGAAGAGATTGCTGCGGCAGTGTGCAACGAAATAGATACAAATGAATTGTTGGTTCATCTTGGAATCAAAACTGATCATCGACTTGATGCAGCTGTTATTAAAACGTTCGTATAATCAGTTCTTTTTAATATTTATTTTTTAAAATTAATTATAGATTTTGTATCTAGTTAATTCCTATCCTATTGTTAATTCCTAAAGTTAAGAATTAATTCCATTTGCTTGCTAATCGCAGGTCCATGGAACGACAAAAGACAGCTTTAATTGATGCACTATGTAGAAAGGGTGTTGCAGCTTCTAGAACTTTGTTTTATAATCTTAAAAACCAAACTGGAGATGCCGATGTTAGTAGTAGTTCTGAAGCTATCGATGAATTATGGTTGAATCTACTCAAATATGTTGACCAAACTGATTTTAAGGTAAATTACAAAACTTTGCAATTGAAACTCTAACTTATGATTGTAATTGTATAGTAGATTAAATGAATTTTTTACTCTAATGATTTAGATCTTCTGCGAGCTCTACACGCTCAATCAGGAATGATAGTTCTAATGTAAAGATTGTTATTTCTGACTTCAATTATGGAGATTCCTACTCCCAATTGAAAGACTGTCATAATTTTAACGCATTTGACATTGAGACAAATAACAGTAGTGCGGATGTGTTACACTATTTATATTTTATAGAAAAATTTTGTTTAATCATTATCCTCCTGCGGATTTGGAGGTGCTTGCAGGCCGTAGTTTAAAGACCTCTGTTGTAGTGTTTGATCTGTTGTATTCATAAATTTATGTAATTGGTGCAACAACCCACTAGTGAGTCTAGACCTTATTTTTATTTATTCATTTTTTTTCTTTTTTTTTTTTTTTTCTTTTTTTTCTGGAATACAAATTTTTCTTTAGCTGTTTAAAACAGAACAGCTTGAGAGAAATATGTGTTAGAGAAGCGAAAAAGAAAATGCAAATTGAAATAATATCAATATTCTTCAATATAAAAAAAAAAGATGTACAAAGAAGTGGAAAAAGCTATTCAAATTGATAAAAACAGATGTTAGTAATGCATGTCTGTCTCGGCTGCTTGATGTCCCATGTAGCCATGTTATCTGTTGAGATTAATTTTAATTTTTGGTTCTGGTGCCAAGAGATACTTGAAGAATGCTAACATAACGTATTATGAATATTATTTCTATCTTATTAACTGAATCAAAACTAATCTTCTCAGAAATGTCATTGTCACATCCATTGTTCCACTGGATTGTTGGACATATTGGATTGTTGAACCACACACTTCATTGTCAAGTGAACTCTTTTTCACTGACTTTGTCAGTGACTGCTTTATGGTTACAGGATTTGAGGACTCTTTAGTCTTGTATTTATTTAATTTCTTATTTTTATAATATTCTTTTTATTTCGAGACTTATCCTTAATATATTAATTATAGTGTTTATGATCTTTGTGATAAAGATGTTTTTATCCTTTTTTTACTTAAGCTATCCATTTTAATGAGTTAGTGCTACACTGACTAGCTAGTTCTAATGAATATGAAGTTGAATATCTAATAGAAATTGGGTAATCCCAGAATAAACTGTGTCGACATACTTATCCAACTGTTATAAATCTTCTTTTTTTTAGACTATTGGATACTTTGGCATGTGGCATGCTGCTGTTCATAACAATTACGGACGCCTGTTGAAGTACGCCATCAAATTACAGGAAGAAAAGTCCACTAAGGAACTTGAGAACTGCATAATTTGGGCTGCTAATAAGCTTGGATGGGAGTTCTATTCTCAACACATTTCAAGATCTACATTGGTTCGCTTTCCGCCCTCATATAGGCTCTTCTGAGCTCAATAATTTATTATATTCAGATGTACATAAATTATTTATTGTATATAACATTCAGATAATAAATTTTTTAAAGATTTTCTTTCATTTGTTAGAGTTGATTACCTCATTTATTTATCCCAACATATTGTATTATCTCTCTTGTATTTTACAAATAATAATAATAATAAAACCTCGGAAGCTCACTTCTTACCGTTTGGATACTTCCTAAATTAATGAAAGGTTTTTAAATAATAAACAAAATTATAAGAGTATTAATTTATTAAACTAAACTTGATAATTATTTTATCTCAGGTATGGGTACAGCCATTTTCTTTTCCCTGCACTAGTAGAACTAGATTAGCTAGCATTTTAATTGTTCAACATTGATTTATTAAACCCCTTCTACTCACTTCCAATAAAGGTGTAAATTACAATATATTATTACAGCAAGACTCGAAATCGGTTTTGTTAGAAGATTTTGATGCATACAGCAAGACAAGTGTATTAAGCCCAAAACCATACTATTTTCGAGATAATGCAAGGCAAAGGGTTCGCATCCACACAACCTTATGTTATTTGTAGTACTGTCATGGAATACATGTGTCATTTTGTCGACTTGAGGCCCCCTAAGACCGAGAGAGGAGTTAATATTATTTATCAAAGGTGTTTTTTGTCGGTAAGCCACATCATTAATTCTTCACCAAATCTCAAAATTGAACCACCAATTTTGAAGATTTCCTTCTTCAGGCAGGCAAAATATTCCAATTTCCCGAAAATTCAGGCAAAAAACTTATGAAAGAAAAGAAACTTTATTTGCGAATAATTCGAATATCCATGAATATGCGAATTTTCACACGAGCCTACTTGTTATTTTATTATAGTGTGAATTTTCAGATAATTTAATTTAAATTGTTTTATAATAATAAATATTCTGAATAATGAATTAGCTCATCTGTGGCCCAAACTTGTGTTCTCATATTTTGAAAAAACTTAACTATCTTATTCTTATCAAAGTTAAATTTGATGGTAGTGGAAACCCCAATGAGTGACTTCCCTGTTTCATCCTTCTAAAGCTTGACTACAATCTTTACCAGCAATCATTGAAATTATTGTCTCAAAAAAAGTTTAATGCTCTAGCAGCTTAAGTTGCTACTGGTCAACAAGAGATTAACTGAAAAAAATAATTCGCGATAGGAACAACTGCACCAAGTAAACCAACTAATTTGTACTTTTTTCATAATAGTTTCTCTTGTACAACCTCATTGTTATCAAGCCACTGTAAAACAAAAACTGCAAGTCTTCATAGCATGTATATATGGTATTTTAATTTTAGCACTAATATTACAAAAAAAAAGACACTAAAACTCGTGGAGCGTCTGCAGTTCAGTACTTAGTAAGGAAATACTGACTGTTTCTTCCACGTAAGTCATTCAATTAATCATTTAATAAAGAGAACCTATTTCATAGAGCCTGGATGTAGCCAGTCCAAAGTACAATCTATGGCTGATGTAATAGAATAAATAGTTATCTACCACAACAGTATTCGAACACGGGACTTGATATGAGCACAGTGCCCCATTCATTGAGCTACTCCTACTTCCACATAAACGTGCTGAGAACAAAATAAACAAATCACCAATATTTTACTACTTAGTAAAGTATGTAGATTGTTTACTCTATTCTTTATCTATGTTCTGTGTTGGTATCAATATTAGCGAATAATACAAACAATTTTTAAAACTGACAAAGGAGTAAGAAAAGTCTTGATATATGATATTACAGATGCGGACCTTCAAACTATACATACAGATTATACCAATAATGTACTAGAAATAAATAAAATTACATATTAAATAATTAATATATTAGGTTTTAACAAGATAAAGTATTTACAATTACCACCTCATAAAACATATTTTATGGGAGGGAAACAAATTATAACGTAGAAAACAAATATTTACAAATTTATTCTTAAAATCCAGTTTTGTATAAAAATCTTTATCAATCACTTTAATTGATTCATAGACCAAAGAAAATAATTTTAGAAACTGGTTAAAAATAGGAATTATTTACAATAACTATACATTGAAAATGTTATTTCAAGATTGAAATACCATGAATTACTATCAAGCAAACAAGCTTTTGAGGAAATCTTCTCTTGATTTTTCAACTTTCTTTTTAGATGCTTTTTCTTCCAAACTTTCTTTTTGAGCAAACCTCTTGCTGGCGACCTCTGCAGGAAGGGTAGAAACAGCACCACCTTTCTTCCTTCTCTTCATCCTCTCTTCTCTGTCGACAGACTCAGCAAAATGATTAGCGATTTTCTTTGCTTGGCTAACCTCTACTCGAAGCCTTTGTTGTCTTACAGCTTTTTCGTAACTTAATCGTTCACAGAGATGGATCCATTTGAATCTATAATTGACAAATATCAGTGTGCATTATTAATTTTAAAAATATCAATGTTTACTATTTCAAAATAATAGTCATTTAAAATCAAGGCCACTTTGAAAGAAATTGCAAACAAATTCCTATATAATTTTTTAATACAATTTTAAAAAATACTAATAATCAGATATTATAGGTATCAATGTTATCACTTTTAAATAGGATCAACAAATATAAAAACATTGTTGTCGGGTATCTTAAAAAAATTATTGGATCACTTAATTTTAATGAAATCATAGGCATCATTAATGAAGAGTAAACATTTTCATCTTGGATGAGAAACAGAAAATATTAAATTATATTATGTTATTTTGGAACAATGAACTAATTTACTTCAAATCCCTAACATTTATAGTTTATATTACATAATGTAAAAAGGCAGCTTATTATTTGAGGAAGGGCAATAGTTTAAAAATATATATTTTTTCAATACACCTACAAAAGTTTCACTCTATCATTGCAGCTAGGTCAAGAACACATCTCTCAAACTAGATGCTAATCAGAAAATAAGTGGAGGCGCATGATCCCTTTTGTAAGGTCTCAATCTCAACTAAAAAACATCGATTAGGGTTCGCTTGCCTCTCCTTGAAGGTTACAATCATGAAGATAATAGTCAATACCCGACAAATTTTATAATTTCATCATGAATATGATTAATGTGATCTTGACCCTGACATAAAGTTTTACTATTGTTTACTATTCATCAATCAGGTAGTGTACATTACAGAGATCCATTTCGTCACTCAATAAAACATGTCATATATATAGCATAATTACCTAGGTAAATATTTTAAATTCCACAGATACTCCCGGAATTTACTTTTCTTTTTACCACCCATTGGAGAGTTATTCAAGACTTCTGCAATTTTTTTAGCATCTCGCTTCTTCAAAAACTCTATCCATCCTTCAGAATATTTCACATTCTTGGGATCAATCTTTTGTTTCCTTGCTAAAATATGTATAACAAAGATTACTACCAAATCGAAACTAATGAATCTATCAATAATAATTGAATGGTACCTTTTTTTTTAATTTCTGGTTGCAAATATATCCTCTCGACCACAGCATATTCTGATATGAGTCGCCTCAATATTACTGGGTTCATCGATGGTGGAATAAATGGCATGTAAACCACTCCTCGCTTATATTTCTTCTTGTTTTGAATTTCTTGTTCTAAGTCACTTTCAAAACCATCCAAATTTTCCAGGCTTCCTATACTACCTATAGAAACATTATCTTCAACTTTATCTTCAACTTTATCCTCCTGTTCATCATTCATCATTTTTAATTATTTTTTAAAAATATATAACAACGTTTGTTTTTCTTAACCACGCTGAATACTCTTCGCAACTAACTGTCGTTCCCCAACGAACCCTTTCAAAAAGATACAGGTTATGAGAATACTACTTCTAGAAGTAAAACATTAAAATTGAGGTACCTTACAAAATTCGGTGTATTTAAACATTTCTACATGATACAAAAGATAATCTAATACTTTTTTAATCCTAATTTTTCTGTAATAAAATTGACCAGTCCATATTTAATTTATAAATAACGCAGCTATAAGAATTTATTTTACTTACATTTCCTTTTATTATCTCTATTTTCGAACTGTTGGTTAAGTTATAATTTTTTTTTAAATTTCATTTGGTTTCAAAAACTATATTTTATGATATTATATTCGTTTCCCTAGTTGTATTTGTGAAAACGCCTACTATCCCTTAACGAGAACGTTAGAGTTCTTAATACAGTAGACTTCTTAAAATATATTAAATAATCAATTCCTAGTTACATTTCATAATTAAATTTTTAAAAATAGACTGAGGCAAGGAAAGATCTTAAGTTTGATTTAAGCCTTATTACAGCCTTTTCTTTGATTTATGAGTCATAAAACAAAATAAGTCTACCAAAACATGATAAAATTAAATTATTATTTTTTTTATCTGTTTATAAAGCCTCAAGTACTAAATTTTAATAATTATGTTCATTTCAATAAAAAAAATTCACTTTATACGGTTTTATAAGGTTATACTGAATGAGTCATGAATAAAAAACATGGGTATGATTATCTTAAAAGAGTTTATTGAAATACAAAATCTGATGTAAATTATTTAGTGATCCATTATGTTTCAGAATACACAATATGTAATACACGGCATGTTTTCCCTTTAACCGCTAGCAGGTTCGTAGTTGATATAAATAGTGTAAAAGCAGCAGTAATTGACATGCTTAAGGAAATTTCTTTGAACTTTTAAGTTTAAAAATTTAAATATTCATCTTATTGTATTTTTCTTGGATTCGTCTTATACAATTACTACTCACCTTGCCAAGACACATTTAAAATCCATGAAACATTTTCCTCTTTATTAGAGAATAATTTTGTCGCACTAGTAGCTGACATTGATTGATTTGAAATGTTCCTATAGTTGACAGGGATGAGAACAAGGAAGTAATAATGCGAAATAAAGTGCTGAAATTTCATATTCTTCATTCAATATAGATATTAACAAAAACTAACTTTACCTTATTATAAAACTAATTTATTGCGTACCTCGATTTAAATTTATCGGTAAATGCTGGACACTGTCAAGAATCTTCTTTTTGCAATAGCAACTTTTCTTTAAACTTTTAAACGTTTCTTAAAGTTCCAATAGCTGACACCCATTACATTTTGTAATTCCTTTAACAAATGTAGGTTAAAATACAAAAAGTCTAAAAACACTCCAAGAAAAAATAAAACAACAATTTTGAGGTAAACCAAAGTTGTTAAAGAGGAAAAGAAAAACCAAAGATAAGATACCCTTAATGAAAGATCGTTATTTCTGGGACAATAAGTAGACTGTGAGGGGCCTTCCTGATTTGCCACCCTTTATTTCGGTAGCGATTCCCGGCAATACTAAAGCAAAGCAGAAAATATAAGATTGGAAAAAATGAAAGCCACTAATTCATGAAATAGAGGTCTAGGAAGACCTAAAATTTTATTATGTATTTTTCAAGGATCATGTCAGATCTTGGTACACTATCAGCTATTGGTGCTTCTATCCTAAGATAATATTGGATTTTTAAAACTAACAATCAAATTACTTTTTATTGATTTGTTAACTTATAACAAAGACGAGATAAAATATGGATCCCTTTTCATCGCTAATTAATATGAAAGAGTTGATTAAGTAATACATTTTACTACAGCGAAAAATTAATTCATACTATAGATAATACAATAAAATTTGATTAATGTTGATCTAGAGGATAATTCAAAGTTATTCAATTTATTTTAACCTAATAAGCACTGTAGGCAAAGAATGTATACAAACCAAATATATAATCAACATAAATTTAAAATTATAGAAATAAATATAGCAGCATAAACAGGTTTTCTTATAGAAGAACTGTTGCATCCATCAGAATCACATGTACCACATTCAGTTTCAGTATAGTTCTGGCAAACATCAGGTTTTCCGCATCCCCGAACGAGATAATGGCCATCTGAGTTTAGGAAACATTTTTTTTAAGTATATTACAAAAATTAAATGCGATATAAACATTTATAAGTTTGAAACAAAGTAAAATGTGTTTTACAAGCCAACTTGAAGCAAACATGAGGTGGCTGATCTAGCGCTGAGTATTTCAATGAGGCGACTCCAAGAGCTGATGCTGCCGCTACTGCACCTAGACCAACATCTCTTACTCTTTGGCAATCAATGGCATCAGTCTTGTTCCCAAAAAAGGGATCTAAACATTCATCTTCACTGCGGCTGTGGCAAACAAAACAAACTAATCCTTGTCCTGGAAATTATAAACAGAAAACTTTGTCTAATTAATTTTGTTGTCCACTACATTTTCTTGAAAGTATTAAATAACAACGTGAAACCTATTGCCGAAATCTTACAACAGAGGTACAAGATAGTTTCTGATCTTTTATCAATATTTTATGAAGAGGTTCAGAGAGCATAAGTACCGGCACTTAATAAATATTGAGGAATTGAAGATTAGCAAGCCAAATATGAAGTGATAACCTAATCGTCATCTTACAATAACATTGTTAACGTTACAATAACGTAACATACAATATAATGATTACATGTATGTTTTATTGAACTTTTTGTGAATGATTTGTAAGTAAATAACCGTGAAATATTGAAAAGTCTGAGTTGGAGGGAGGGGGCGAGAATCACTTTTTTTTTTCATTCAAAATAATTTTAAAATCTCATAATAAAAACGTGTTTACACACCTATGTAAGAATACATAGGCCGCAAGAGAGGACAAGGATATGTTTTCAAGACTGAAGGTAAAACCCATCAAAATATTTTGTAGCAACATATGCATATTCCCCAATGTTGCTGATACCGGGATTGCAGGAACGCAAGGAAGAACGATAAATAAATTAATTAATAATCTACTTACAAATCATTAAATTTAGCCCCCTCTCTCTTCTCCCATCCACTCTCACGCACTTCTTACTGTAGTACTGCATTTCTTGTTATAGAATGTGGAAACCCTGAGTATAGGACTCCTGATAGAACAGATCTTTCTCTAAGCCAAATAAAATTTTTAGCTCTATCTTGAGACAATAAAAAACTAGCGCAACCTACTGATTAACCCTAAACGTATTATAGTACACAATATTGCCCAAAGAAAGCAGTATAGCAAGAAGTAGCATTTATTTTTTTTTTTTTAATTTGATTTAAGACAAACATTATTATTAAGAAAACCTTTCTCTTCTCAACATGCAACAATAATTAGAACTATACATTGTATATTTGTAAAACCACATAGTAATTCAGCAATTATACTTGCCAATAGAGATTGTGCAATCTTAAATATAAATATTTTAAATTCCTAATGGATTCCTCAAATTATATGCCTACCCATCTTAACCTTCTTACCTTCATTTTGTGAGATATTGATTGGTCAATCTCTCAAAGCAGCTCTTTATTGGTCTTTCTCCTCAATCCTTTAGCACTCAGATCCCATATGAAAGATTTTACTTCAAAATATTCAGGATATTTTGTAAGTAATGTTAGAATGGTTAAGGAAAATATAATTTTGGAAGCTTATTAATATAATTATTGATTATTTATAATAATTAAGGCAATTATTTAATTAGCTTATTAGCAATTCGTAATTCATTGATGTTTTATTGTTCACCGATTTTTTAATTTAATTTATATTCATATTAATTAATTAATTCATAATATTTATTGTAATTAATATTTATAAATTCAAAGTAATTTAAATCATATTCGATTATTACTACTTTGATTATCACTAAATCTAGATTGAAATTCTGTAATTCTATTTTAATGATACACACTATTTGTTTTAAAATGCTGTTTAATTTTTTATCTCTCCCACCTAAAGGGCAGTTGTCATTTAAGCCATTAATGAAAAGCATCTCATTCCCTGCCGGGATCCCTTAACTTAACTATTATTCACCTAGTTTTTCTTTTTCTAAATGTGTTGTTAATATGTATATGAGATTCTATGACATCATTATGCCTCTTATAATTAATTTTCAAAATCTAAAATGATAGTAAAGTACACTTTCTTGACAGTAATTGTTCTTAAAAACCTATTTGATTTATTTTCCAAATTTTGTTGCTTTTACCATCCTTGGTAGGTCCAGAATCAATATGCCATAAAATGTTAGAGACAGATTGCAACATCCTCTTGGTATGAGTGATTAGTTATTTCATTTCCTTTAAGGAACCAACTGTCCTCGTCATGTATATCTACTGCCATCTAATGATTTTTATTATTAGTAAATACTTCTTCCCATAAATATAAATTCGCCACACATACCTTGAGCGAGCAAGATCAAAATATAGGTATATTAGGTAAAAATTCTTGGGATTTATTTATTAAAATTTATATTAAAACGAGATAATTTAAATGTAAAGAATAATTAAATGTTTTATTTCAGATAATGTATATGACCACTACGGTGAAAAATATTAGGTATGCTTACTAAAACAAAGAACAATGAACTCTGATAAATTTCCATTGTAATAGAATAAAAAACTGGGACAGTGTTTCCAAGCTATGGCTAAAATTGAAATAAGTTTCACTTCTTCAACGTATTGAGATTAATAGTGACTGTTGTGACATGGTATTTATAAAAAAAACAAGAGTGATATATTTCAATCCTACAATGTGCATTATTAAATAAATTAGCTTAAATACACATATTAATAGTATACACATGGGTTTATTTTATTAAATTGATCAAAGAAAGTATTAAGATTTCTGGTTCTGAATAATTAATTCATTTTATCTTTGTTCATCATTTCAATTAACCATTGAAGCCACTATATATATGACTTCAACTACTTACATTGATAACATGTATATGTATAAATTATATAATTTGTCTAAAATAATATTTAAAATATATCGTGTAAAGAACAGTACATTTTATATTATTGAACTTGATAATAACCTACCATTTTGAAGATCCATGACTTATATTTTTTAAATTAAAAACTGGAATTTATGTTTCACAAGATGATCATAAAAAAATGAAATTAAAGAAAAATATACTTTAAGGAAACAGAAAGTAAAAAGAAAAACTTAGCACAATTAGAACAAGTATTAAAAATTAGAGGATCATCAATAATCTCTCACAAAAATTTATTTAGTGCTACAAATATATAATTCTAGATTTATAAATTTATATAGTGCTAATTTATATAGTACCAACCATACTGACGATTGACTATCACTTTAAACAAAAACTTTCCATTATGTTTTTCCACTAGTCTAATCTAATTTATTTTATATCGTTATGTCTGTTGTTCTATTCTTATTATTTTTTTTTTTATAAATTAAAGTCAAGAAATAATAGAAAAAAATTACTATTTACTTTTATATACTAGCACTTACCTAGTTCAGAATAAATCAATAAAGTGATAGTTATTAGAAACAGTTTTCCTTTGCAAAGGCTTAGCATATTCATTTACAGAAGTGAATTCTGTCGACGTTGTTTACTGTCCAGGACAATGTAAAGTGTTACGATTCCCCATCCATCTATATTTCATGGTAGAAGAATGGTTGACCTATCACAAGAAGCATGTTCCAGACGACAAAATCAATGCTAGTTATACAGTATTAATGGTTAACCTTTAAGAGTTGTATTAACTTTCACTAAAAAACAACAACACTTTTATATAATATATTTTCCTTATATAGATAAAACCTTCTTAATTTAACATCAGTTTATAATTAGTTAATAAATAAATGTGTAAAAATTTCTCATTAGTATAAAAAAAGTATGTGTTTTACTACACGCTTTTATTCTCATAACATTGAACTTATACTAAATATTCCATCTAGGCCATTTCTTTTTACAAATCCAAAATTAAGTTTATTGGATGATTAAAAACAAAAAAAAAAAACTATAATGATTGGAGTGAAAATACTAAAAATACTGAAATTCAAAACTTGTTATCTATATAAATATAAACAAATCAGGGGAAATAATAGTAAATAAGTTGGTTTTGTGTAGCCATGACTCGCAGCATTGCAACCATCTTGAAAACATTGGCAGCTTACATCTTGATGACCTTTATTTGATACAACATAGCAATCTCGTTTATGCATCTCCCATCCACATTTCCTTATTACACGTACCATTCCTCCTCTATCATAAACTAAAAATAAATATGTATAAAATTATTGTATTAGAAAAAGTATTTATTTTATTTTCTATGCTAATAACTTCAAATTATTCATAAAATTACTATCTTAGATATGAATAAAATTGCAATAGACTCTAACTGATTGGTATATAACAAAAAATTCTCAGAATAACAATAACTTAAACCCAAATGGATGTTTTATTGTTTACTAATTGTTATACAAAAACATTATACTTTTGTGTAAACAATACATAAATATTTCTTACTTTCACCTGATAAAAAAGATAAAAATAATAAAACCATTTTTTCTGAAATATAATAATTTAAACATAAATAGAAAAAAAAATACATTTAAATCGAAAACTATAATTTTTACTAAGTAGTGTTCAAAATATTGTTTGTGGTTGAAACTAAGAATAAGCTAATCAGAAAAATGTTTCAAATATATATTATTAAAAGAAGTTAGTGGACAGTATTACATATCACAGGAGATAAATAATCAGAAAGCAGTCATTTTTGAGATTTTTTATTGCTAACAATGTTTCAACCCAAACATGATGATGACCCACATGTTTGGGTTGAAACATCGGCTACAATAAAAAATCTCTAAAATTACTGCTACCTGATGATTTATCTCCAGTTTCAAATATTCATAAATATTTATCATGATAGGAACATTTTGTAGTAAGTTGCTAAAAAACTGATTCTCTTCAGGAATGTATTAAAGTGCTTTTCTCAAATCTTGGTTTCATTTTTTTAACTCTGAGATTTATTTTTTTTCTTCTAACTTATTATTCAAAGATGGATTGCTTTGGTTTCCAATAGGTTTTTATACTTCCTCATTTTCGATGAATCTATAAATGGGAGTGGTAATTTTTTGTTGCTACAGAGATCGCTCACCTCCCTGTGAATCTCAAGATGGGGACGTTACCGTGCGGGAATTGAACCCACACCTGAGTGGTCTAAGCAATCAAACAAGGAGCATCTGTACTTATTTATTCATTTTTATAAAAATTTAGTTATTATTGATTACTTTTATTTTATATCTTTTTTGTTATTAAATCCTTCAATAAAAATGTAAAAAAAAAAATATATATATATATATATATTTATGGTGATTATTTCCTTTTTGCAACTTCCTAGTAAATTAATCAAATAATGATCCCTGGCTTCTTTATAATCCTTTCAATGAACTGTCACGCTTGACCACTCAAATTTTATTAATGTTGTCTCCAAAAGTTAAAATCAATTTAATATAACCAGAGGGTTTCACCCTTAAGCCCCTTAATTTATTGTTACCTGTACAACTACAACCCAATAAGGGTCTTGTGTTCAGTACTTTTCAGAGAAAGTACTGTTTCAAGGGCAACGGTTGTGCAGAGGAATATTGGGGAAAGATCACGCTCAACCACCAGGTTTTCTCCCTTAATTAATTATTTTAATTAATGGTACCGACTTTGTAGATGCTGGAAGTGCCCCAGGAGGTTCTCTTTACCCCAGGGTCACCCCATGGCTAATGAAACAGAATAAATAATATTTCTGCCCTGAGACGGGATTCAAACATGGGACCTTCAGCATTGGAAGCTCAGTGCCCTACTACTGTGCTATTCCCTCCTAATATATATGTTGCAAAATAATATCTGAACCATCATTAGTCATTAGTTCTAATTAATACTATAGGTATTTTTAATGTACCGTAACTTGGAGAAAATTGGATCCATAATGTGCCATAGAACTTAGTATTTATGCAGTTACCTACTAACTGTTGTAGCAATAATTAATTATGTCTAAAGTACATATTAAAAGATCTATGTATAACTTAAGCCTTTTTTTTAATGGAGCTAAGTAGCCAGTGATGGTATCCAAGTACCTCAAAGTTACGGTATCTTTATTAACAATCTGAATCTAGTTTTTCATGACATTGAAAAGTAATTAACTCAAAAAAATGTTCTAAGCCAAATTATTTTAATTTTACTAACTTGTTTGTACTAGTTTTCTACAAAATATTTCCTTGCCTACAGCTTCATTTGGGTCACAAAGCTTGTAATGTTCACTGGAAGTATCATTTGGCTGAATATTCTCGCATTCAGGATTGAACAAAGAGTTACATTGAAAGCAGTAAATTGCTGAAACAGCTAAACAGAAAATAAAATAAAATTTACGAAGTTTTTAATTTATAATTCTTAAAATTATTTTCCATTATATATATAGTTTTATAATTATTTAATTTCAATTGATAATTTTTTTTAAAATTTGTTTTATACCACATTGCCAAAAAAAATATTATTTTCATCTAAAATGTATTGATTAATAATTATATAATATTTTAAAAGAAACAAATTAAATATTAATTTTTAAAAAATTGAACCTTTACAATAGGTTTTTATCTATTATATGTTGACTTTAATTATGTTTTTCATAATATTGAAATGTTCTATATATAAAATTGATTATTCTTATCTTTGGACAAACTACGTTTTCAATCTCTCTATAAAAATATTTTTTTGATGAATAAAAATTTAGTTCAATACACACAAAGGTTTTTTTTTTCAAATACAAAGTAATTTCAATAATGCATCTATGATAAGTGATAATTTTTTTTTAATTTCTCTCCTTACTAATAAATTTTAATATATTAACAGTTAATCCTAAGTACTGATACTAATAAAATTTTAAATAGCCATATTTTTTTTTCTCAATGGTTATATTGGGAGGGAATATTTTTTTTTCTTTCCCTCTGTATTGATAATTAATTTATCTATAATTAATTAACGATTGATTGTTCATAATTTGAGTCAATTTTTTAATCTAATGAATGATGATTTATTCAAAATTATACAGGAGTACTGGTGCTAGTAACTATATTTTAAAATCCTATTTTTTTTTCTCAATTGTAATTTTGGCTGAGGAAATTTCACCTTCTTTTCTTCTCTTGGATCTGCACTGATTTATATCAACAATAAAGAAATCTACTTGTGACAAAAAATAATAACAACTTCGTTGATTGTAATTTTTTTTTTTTACTATAAAACATAAAAAACTTTGAATTTTTAGCAATAAAATAAGGAGCTGAGAAAATATGAAATAAAATTTAATAATTATACTAAAATCATAACACATAAATACAGAATAATTACTTTGTATCTCTAGATCAATTGAATTTGATAAATAAGCTTTATTAATAGAAAGCTAATGAAATTAAATATTTTTAAATTAATTACAATTAAACTTTTATAAATGGTAAGCTTATGCGAATTTTATTATGAATTTTACTAACAATATATTTACATAAGTTTATTTAATTTTTTTATATTATATTATTATATACCTACTTGAAATATGAAGAATGAGACATAACGCGAAGACCTCAGCAAAAAATGATATTTTATTTGCCATGTTAATTGAGTTAAAACTTAATTGTAATAATTCTTTTGTTGGATCATTAGGTTGATGGTATGTTTCTCTGTATCTTCAACTGATCAATCTGATTTGTAAATGTTGGATCGTAATCCCTGAACTCTGACACTGATGATAATTGAAAAAACCTCGGAAAATAACTTTTTATCAAATTAAAATCATTCATATTTTTTCCCCTGATCAATTAATAATAAAGCTTCCAACCTTCTGGAAAATAACCACTAACTTTAGTGTAGTAATTAATCGATAAAGAATAGATAAACTTCCTTTGATAAATACATATATGACCTTAATTATTTATTAACACCTTACTTAGAATAACACTTAAGAAATCAGTTTTTAAATAATGAAAAGGAAATCCATGTTTTGTTTTTTTAAATTTGTGTTATTTTATTTTTTTCTTCTCATTTGTTAGAATTATCAAATTTATTTAATTCATTTCTATTCATATGAATCTGATAGATTCCATAATTAAACAAGTTCTTTCTGTATTAACATTAGAGATATATGAGGCATTTACTGATAAAACGTGGTAATTCACCATCAATTTCTTTTCTCCCTCCATTTTTGAAAATTGTATAGATGACTCAATTAAATAATATTTCAGAAATTTATTTTACCAATGAATAAATTTTCACTTGGTTTTTTATTTTATTGTTCTGTTTCTTTTCTTTTTTTATATGCAAAATTTTAAGATTTGGAGTTATTCTTATAATTGGAGTTTTTCTTAGTAGACACCTTATATGGCCTATCAATTTGTTTAATTGTCATCAATAAGACTATGTTTTTATGTTTTAATCATTATATGGATATTATCAATTCTACAATGATAAATCATAACTTATTATAACAAAATTTATGTTTAGGCATTTATAGTTAATTAGTAATATCATTCTAAAACCGAAACTTCATCTTAATTAAGAAAATTAAACAAATTAAGAGTTTGACAACTAATGTGATGCATCCCAATAGGAATCTAATATATTTAATAAAGATACAAAAATGGTAAAATAAATTAAAATCAAATTGTGATGTTTTATTTCACTCGTATAAAAGTAATTTAAAAAATAAATAAGGGTACAAACATTGGTTAAAATGTATTCATATATAAAATCAAATACATTAAGATAATTTAAGGAATATATTACAAAAGTATGTACACAATATATTACATTCTCCCTGAGTTTTACAAATCTCCTTTTTTTTTATAATCTTTTAGCCATATTTTTATTCATAGTTATGTTACAAAAGTGACTTTTAAGGAACTGCTTTCATTAGAAATATATATTAAAAGTTTAGTTTTAATAGTATTTATCCTTTTAATAAACAATAAAATGTAACAGTTATTCCTATTAAAACGGATATCCATGGAGTATTAACTGTAGCTGAATTGCAGGCGTCTGAAAAACATTGACATGAAATATCTTCATGTCCCTTATTCCAGATCCAATAACAGTCTTGTTTAGGATGAATTACCCAACCGCAACTTCTAATTACTCTTTTGATATTTTCTCTATCCATAACTGAAAAACGATAATGATTAGTATTTAATCTTAAAAATATACATAAGAATCTTTAGAGAACTAATACATTACTTACTTTTCTGTACAGTTTTTCTACAAAACATTTCTTTTCCTGCTGACGCCTCAGTTGGCTCACATAATTTGTAAAATCTGCTTGACGTGTCATTAACTTCAATGGTCTCACAGTCAGGATCCATGTGGGAGTTGCATTGGAAACAGTGAATTCCATAAACACCTGTGGAAAAACAAAAATTTACTTTTAATAAAATGCATAGCTTCAACTAAATTATCTTTCATTATAACATTACTGATTATCACATAAATCTATTTACTGACATTTGCGAATATTGTGGCAATGACTAAATATAAAAGATTGGCTTCTTAGAAATGGCAGACGAATGTTATTTTCAATTCAGTTTAAAAAAGCCCTCAGTTTGAGAAAGTAATAATTTACAAGTTTGCCTAGATTATTATTATGACACAGGTTCTATTAATATTCACTAGATTCTATTAATGTTCATGTTAAGGAACATTATTTGATTTTCTTCATGAAGATGTTCTTTATCCAATGTGGTAGCCACACTTTTGAATTGGACCAATACTTCAAATTTTCTTTGTATTCCACTAATTATTGTTCCATCTATCATGCATTGAAACAACCTGGTCTCTGAACGCAGGAAGAACCACACATTGCCAATCATTATTAAGTTAAAATCAGAATCTTATTTTAAAAATGGTGAAATATTTATATAATATGATTTATAATCTAGATTCTTTTAAATGTTTAATTTTTATATAATATTGATGCCATGATGATAACTTCCATTAATGTTAAAATATTTAATTAAATTATGGAACATTTAAATAAGCAGGTATTATTGTTTATTGGTGAATTTTCTATTATTAGATTTCTATTATTAGACTACTAACTTATTGTAAATTGAATATTAAATATATTGTATCTTAAAAAATTAACTTTGTAATAGATTTTTGGGTCTTTAACTTGAATAAATCCAATCTCTGGGTAATTGAATTTGTTGATGATTAATAACCGAGAATAGATTGGTAAATGGATTTGAACAAAATATTCTTCTTTTTGTTATATGAAGAATGCTATACTGCCAGATTTAAATTATAACACACTTACTTCCAAAACAAAATGTAATCCCATGATAAGTAAAAATACAAACATTTTATCCCTAAAAGTATTATTGTTCCTGCAATTATCGTTATTTAAAAAAAAATGTTATTCTCTCCCTCACAAAATAAACAAATTTGATTCTAAAACCCACTAATAGTCTGCTGCAATAGAACACACCGAACAATATTGCCAACAGGGGTTCAATCTCCCCCCAAGATCGATAGTGCATAAACTCCCTCCTTCCTCGCAAGAAATTTTATTGCTCCCCTCTTCTTTAAAACAGCCCAAGCAAAAATGGTAATTCATATACAAATACACATGCAGTGGTCAAGTCCACGTTTTTCATCTTGTTCCCTGGATTGAAACTTTTCACTTTGAAAAATTATAATCCTGTGGAAATGTGAACTCCCCTAAAAATAAAAACCCTGTCAAAATGTGCCCCCCTCAAAACTTTTTATGGCGCAATCTGGGCCATGAAACCCCCATCTGGGCACCTCTGATGGGCAATAATACCTGGATATTGATTTAAAGGAAACGAAAAATTCAGTTTTGTTCAAGAAATCTTGCTTAAAAATTTGTTTTCTTTTTATTACGTTTAATCATTTTTTAAGTTTGTCCCTTATATACAGTACATTAAAATATTCTAATAATTTTATTAAAATAATATTTACACCAACGCAGTTCCTTATGGGATATTGAACCCTGATAAACAAATAATAAGGTTATCAAAGGGATAAAAAAACGGGCGTTAAATTTTTTTTCTCAGTTTCACTGTAACATAAATAGACACTGAAACATGTTATGTAATTTTATAAATTATCTATATTTATAACGTTGAATGCTTCATTAGTCCGGGAGACCATTCAGGAAAAACGTGACTTATTTTTCTCTGATTTCAAACAATTATATCCATGATGGAGTAATAAAAAATAGCCGTCTGCCGACATGTATCCAACAGAAAACAAAATGGTGACCAATCAGAAATGAAATTTTTGAACTTCTGGTATTAATTAGTTTACAGCTTCGAAACGTTACTTCCCAGCAAAAAAGTTAATATTTCAAGAATTACTGAACTTCAAATTTGACGTCGAATATAGAGCCAGTCAACTAGAATTTTTCGAAGGAGGCAAGCTTAGTTTTGCCGCCCCTTCTTTCCTCATTCATTCTCCTTTCTCTCATATATTTATATTTTATCTATATATTTTAAAATAAATATCATCATCTCATACATGGTATCAACTCTTTTATTGGCTGAATTAAGGTCAAAAAAATGAAAAGCGGAAACACATCTGTCATCTGGGTCTACTGTTCAATTGATACATTAACACGTTTTCTCACTAATGTTTATGAGGAGAAATATAAATAAATCTCTGCGATCAAATTGGCTGAAATTTTTATTCCTATTAACACTTCAGGATGGCGTGTGCAGGTGGCGGCCCCATCGCCTAGTTGTCCGCTGGCATCGTCCAGTCAACTACTATCAGCCAATGGCCATCCAGGTTGGGGAACACACACAGTACACTATCTACAGCAAACTACACACAACCCACTCTACAGACGAAGGTCACCAACAGTACACATCTTATACCTAGAGCCAAAAAAACGACCTTATCGCAGGCGAAGATTTGAATGCAAATTATGAAAGTGTATAACATTTTAATTGTAATGAGCTTTGTCTGCCATTCTAAAACCGCTGCTTTCAAAAATGGCGACCATGCAAAGAGGACCAAATTGGCCGAAAATGGACCTCATCGCAGGCTGGATGAAACATTGAGATGAATCTTTCTTCAATGAAGCGCTTTCTATTGGCAGACTTAATTTAAAAAATTGCAACTTTAGGGTAATAAATTTACCAGTCTTAGAAGCCTTGAAATCATAACTACAACGAATGTTTGTGATAAAAGGAAGAAAGAACATTGTCTGCCTTCTTTAGGCAACGGCAATCTACTGGCAAACTATAATTAAAGATTGCAATATTAGGTGTAAAAGTTTATTTAAGTTAGGAGACTTGAAACTAAGCTATATGATACTTATATATTAACAGTTGAATTAAAACGTAGTCTGCCTATGTTAGGCCGCGGCTATCTACTGGCAGACTCAAATTCTTTCTTCCATTTATCATAAATATTCATTGTAGATATAATTCCAAGGCTCCTGAGATTAGTAAATTTACTACCATAAAGTTGCAATTTTTTAAATTAAGCCTGTCAATGGAAAGCAGCAGCACAGAAACGGCTGACTGGCGTTTAAAATGGCGCTTAATTGTTGAAAGATTCATCTATCAAAGTTTCAACTAGCCTGCGATGAGGTCCATTTTCGGCAAATTTGGTCCTCTTTGCAGCGGCTTTGGAATGGCAGACAAAACTCATTTTAATTAAAATATTATAAACTTTCATAATTTACATTTAATCCTTCGCCTCCGAAGAGGTCCGGTTTTTTGGCCCTGGCTCCAGGTTTACCTCAGGGCTATCAGGGTTACCTCCCATAGGTAGCCACCCTGGAAGGGTGTGCAGGTCTTCAGGCACTAAGGTGGCAGCCCCACCAATAGACCAGG